TGCTAGAGAGGTTGTGGGGAAAAAGGAACTCTCCTGCACTGTTGGTGGGAGTGTAGACTGGTGCAGCCTTTGTGGAGGTCAGTCTGGAGATTTCTCAAAAAGCTGGGATTGGAAGTCCCATTTATTCCAGCTATTCCACTTCTAGGCATATTCCCAGAAGAATTGAAAGCATCATACCACAGTGATATATGTGCACCTATGTTTATAGCAGCACAATTTTTAATCGCCAGATCTTGGAAACAACCCAAGTGTCCATCTACTGAGGAATGGATAAAAAAGTTGTGGTATTTCTATACAATGGAGTATTATTCAGCTATAAAGAAGGATCACATTGAGACATTTATCAATAAATGGGCGCAGCTTGAGACCATACTCATAAGTGAAATAAATCAATCTCGCATGTGTGAATACCGAATAGTTTCCCTAATGTAAGTAATGATTCAAATATATAAAAATATGTGGTAATCATGATTCCATATTATGTGGCCTTGTAGCCTTATAAAGTTTTCATTTATTAACTGGAAAGGCTTTATTCTGGTCTTCTTGATATGGAAATATTTGAAGCTATAGTATATGAAGTTTTATTCAAATATTTCAAGGAAAAAGACAGACACTATGGTAACTACTATTAAGTCGGGTTATTTGGTGGTGAAGCACTAGGTTGCTGAAACAGTCATGCTTTGACCTGCATTGTTATATTGTTATATCCTGTTTTATCTCAATCTCTCCCTTATTCTTTAAAAAAATTATTTAGTTATTTCTTATGTTTGTTTTAATTAAGGGGAAAAGTTTTAAAAATTAGCAGGATATATAATAGTAACTTTTTTTGATTTCCTATTAACTTGTTTTGAAGTCCTGTAATACTCCCATGATCTTGTTCTGACTGATTAGACTCTGTTCCATTCTGTATGATAGTATCAAGTTTGAGGGTATAGGCAACTACTTTGAAGGCAATAAGATTCACTAAGATGCCCATTCTGGTTTGACTATTGTCTCCTTTGGAAATCCTGTAATGTTTACAATGCTTAAGTTCTATTGGTCTTGTTCTCTACTGTTTTGTTCAACTTTATAATACCTAATGAGATAGACAATTCTTTTTTAAGGAAACAAGAGACATTATGGTAACCATTGTGGATAACCTTGTACTCTGTTTTTACATCATGTGCTATGTCTATCCTTGGTTTTGGCTGACAGCTTTGTTTTGCCATATTTGACTTTATTCTCTCCCCCCCAAAAAAGTAATATGGACTAAGGATTAATAAAACCCCAAATGTGTAAATTTTGTTGTAAAAAATAGAGGGAAAAAAGTGCTCTAAAGGATACAACAGCAAGTGTGTTTAGGGGTGTTAAATAGCTGACCGTATTAATGTTTTTGGTTGGTTCATTGAACACAACTGTTTGCAGTCTCACTGTTTGAATGTCCACTTTGTATGCTTTGATACTGTGATTTGAGCAACTATCTCTAAGATGATAATATGTAATCTATTAACTGGTGATTTCTTACTTTTTTTTTTTTGTAGTTCTGTATTACTTGTACCCTTACGCTTTGTTTTGTTTTGTGTTTTTCTCTTTTTCCTTTTAAATAAAATAAAAAAAAAGAAAATACCTGCTTGTTTTCATCAGCAACTGGAGAGGCTAAGAAGAAAGTGGGGTGCAATATTGAAATTACTGAAAGGGACAGACATCAACCAAGAGTTTTACGTCTGACAAAACTGTCTTTAAATGTTTGAGAAATTAAGCATCCCCAAATAAACAAAAACTGAGTAATTGTTACCAGTAGAAATGTGCTCCAAGAAATACTAAAGGGGGGCCTTCAGAGAGAAAGTCAGTAAAACTACAAGAATGACTTTGAAGGGCTCAGATGAAGAAATGAACCACAGACATGATAGAACCACAAGAAAACTAGCATTAGAAGTAGAGCCTGAAGATTAGACTGAATTGCTACAATCTCATGACAAAAACAGATGAGGAATTACTTTTCATAGAAAAACAAATAGTTATGATAGAATCTGCGCTGGTGACGATGCTGGAAATGTTGCTGAAAATGACAATACAATCTAATGTTACAAAAACTTAGTTGATAAAGCAGATGCAGAATGTGAAGGAACTGATTCTGACTTTGAAAAAAGTTCTATTTTGGGTAAATGCTAACAGATAGCATTCTAGGCTGCAGAGAAATCTTCAGTGAGAAAAAAAAAGAGTCAATTAATGTAGCAAACTTCACTGCTGTCTTGCATAAGAAATTTCCATAGCCACCCTGGTCAATCAATCACCCTGACCACTGAGGCTACACCTTCTACCAACAAAAATAGTACAACTTGGTGAATGTGTAAATAACTATCAGCATTTTAATAAAGCATTTTAAAGTATGTACATTTTTATACACAGTGCTCTTATTTCTGTACAATATTGGCAGTTTGTTATGCACTGGGAAACAAAAAATTATGTGATTTGTTTTTGCAATATTTACTTGAGTGTGTTGCTCTCAAATGGAGCCCAAAACATATCCAAGGTGTGCCCGAGCTATTAAAATTAGTATTATTCTGAAGCAGTTTGTATGTTATCAGCTGTAATCCTCAAGGATATCACTGTAAAACTAACTCAGATTGCATAGCAAAAGAACAATGATCCAAAAATGAAGTTAATAAATTCCCTTAAAAGAACATAAAAATTTGACAGTAATGTGACTCCACAAACATGAAACACAGAAGGATCTTCCACTGTCAGACTGAAGAGATTTTTTCCATGAAGCAAGCAATGAATTCAAACTAGGAGCTCACCCAGTATCTCCCAAGGTTGTGAAGCCAGAGCTGAGAATCTGCGGGTACCAATTTAACCAGACTTCTTAGCTCGGAGTACTTATCCTAGAGAGAAATGAAGGATGCAAGTGTGGGGGATGTGCTCAGTCCTGATTGGATGCTTGTGGTCATAGCTCTTTGGTTAATTCTAGGGGCAAAATGGGACTTTCTGGTGGTTGCTTGTCTTGGCAGCTGGAGTAGGAACCTGCCTGGCTGGGCAGGGTCCATAGAGTCCATTTTATGATTCTTCCAGGAACACAGAGTACATTTGTGACCCCTGGTCAGCCAAGCACTACCAATTCTATTTGAATTTTAGGCCCAATTAGCCACTTGGGAGCTTTCTTGGCAAATCAGCTTTTTAAAAAATTTAGATGTACAAACAATATTAATAGATGTTAAGATACACACACTGAGGTTGTGATTTTGGTGTCCACTGTTAGTAAAAGTTTATTTCCAGGTCTGGATACTGATTATAAGAATCTGTTCAGTTTTTGAAATTTCACTGAACTATATACATATGAAACACACTGTTCTATATAGTCCTTATATTTTCATATAGTAAGTTCATGAATCATAGGTTTTCTATATATTAAAAATAGCCTGTTTTAAAGATAGACCTCCTTTGGAAAAAAATTACCTTTAACTACAATTAGTAAATGTTTCTTAGTGCGAAGAGATATAAAAAGTCAGTTATATAAGATAAATAATCATATGAACAACTGAATTGCAATTTCTGGAAGAAAATAGAGAATCATAAAATGAAATCTTTTCAGATTATCTCTTTAAGTCTACCACAATCAAAATTAGTATTCTATTTAATAATTTCAGAATGTATTAATCTTAAGAGATTTTTGGAAACAAAAAGTATAAGAAAAATGGGGAGAAGTTTTCAAGAAGGTTTGAGCTACCTGACAAAGGACTGTTCCTCCTCATGATATTTGTCATTGTTGCAGCCATGTGAAGCTACAGGAACTCTTACTGAGTTTTGGGATCCTTTAGAGACTTTTTCTCGCTTCTTGGTGTCTTAAACAAAGATTTGACAAGAGACACAAAAATGGTAGTGAAAACTGACATTTATTAAAGGTAGGAGAACTACTTGCGTGACCACACTAAGTGGTGGTCAGTCTAAGCAGAGTGACAACTTCAAGCCCAGAACTCACAGCTCGAATCCTAGACAGCCACACAGTTTGTTTGTAGTGCTGGAGGAAGAATCTAGGGTTTTCATTTTCCTTCCTTCCTATACCCCCAAACTCTTTTATGTTTTATTTTGAAACATGTTCTTGTTAAGTCACTAAGTACCCACACTGGGCTCAAATTTGCAACCATCCTGTCCCCTGCCTCCAGGAGTGCTGGGATTGTAGACCTGAACCACCAGGCTCAGCGCACAGTGAATTCTTAACAACTTTGTTAAAATAATATTGTATCACCTGAAGCCACCAGGTGGAGACAAAGAAACGAACTTAAAAAGTTTTAGAAAGATGTGTCCCTAGTAAGGCTTTTTTCTATTGTTACGTTTCTCGAAGAAAATAGAGAATCATAAAATGAGAACCATAAAATAATTTTTTCTACAGCATGTCTTGTTATGTTTTATTCATAGTTTTCATTTTTCTTCATATTGTGAGTAGTATATTCTCTCTTTTACAACAAGCTCTTAACAATAGAAAATGTATACTAATTATCAGATTATTTAGCATTTTCATATATTTAATATTATCTATATATAACTATTAGAATCACCTTATTGAATCTCTAAGTTCTAAGTGGTTGCCAAAAGTAATTTCTTGATACCTGGTAGATGTATCATTTTCTTTTCTTTTCTTTTCTGGTCTTTTTCGTTTTTATCGGTACCAGGGATCGAACTCATGACTGCCTGCTTGCAAGGAAGGCGCTTATGCCGCTGAGCTAAATCCCCAGCCCCAATATATCATTTTTGAATACCAATAATTGTCTGTCCTCCTTTTGCCCTCAAAATATTTATATATCCTTTTGTTCTCAAAATGTATTTCCAATGTATTTTAAATTCTAAGCATAGTAAAGTATTTTTTTATTTGTGAATAAACAATTGAGTTATTCTTTTCAAATACCTTTCTAGGTATTTGAATACCTTTCTAGGTATCTGAAAATAAGGAATACTTTATTTTTCTTTTTTTTATCTGTGAATAATTTTTATTCACAAATAAAAATTAAATAAATATTTTGCATTTGTGAATAAATGATTGAGTTATTCTTTTCAAAGACCTTTCTAGCTATTGTATTGTTCTTTTCAAATACCTCTAGGTATCTGACAATAGGGAATATCCTATTTTTCTTTTCTTTGGAACAGACATGGTGAACCATTTTAAGGCTATCATGTTCTTTCTATGTCTGCGCCACAACATCACATGAACCGGTCTCTTTCTCAATGGAGGAGCCGTTTCCGGAGGCGGATTTCAGGAGCGCACTGGCATCTCCACTTCCGGTCCCCCCAGTTCCTACACCGGCTGACCGGAAGTCCCGGAGGGGAAACCGTGATCCCTGCTCTTTCGCTTCACTCCTTTCCTGAGCCACAAAACACGTGAGCCTCTCAGAGCATGGAACAAAAAGAGGAACGATGGCAGTTTAAGAGTTGAATCAACTTTGTGATGCGAGTGGGTGCTCCTTCACCAAAGAACATCATTCCACTCTGTGTTCTTTGACTTCTACTAAACCCGTTCTCCTTTTCCTCTCAACATCTAAAAAATTCATCATTAGGCAAATTTGAGCACCCATATATTTTTAGTATCATCCAGTGATAGTATGACATAGTGTTTTGCCTTTCAAAGGTCTTTTATCAACTGGATTATCAGCCATCTTGTTCTGCCAAAATTTCAGCATCACGTTGAGCAGTGTGGTTAATAAATAGTATTACTTATAAATTCAAAAAGTTTCAGAAGTCTGAGGAAAGACAGAAACTGTGAAAGTTCATCTTTTCTACTTCCTTTCCCCTAGGAATAGACGGAGGATTGAAGTGGAGAAATGAAGACTGAAGTGTTTTACTACAGAGTAATAGAAAAGGTACATTTTTGGTACCCATAAGCAAATTAATAAATAACAGTCTAAAGTGTTTTAGTTGGAGGTTAAATAAACAACAGGAATAGTTAGTACAGTAAGTTTTGAACCATGTTCTGTGGAATGCTAGGATTCTCCAAAGAGGTGTCAGGGATTTGGGGGAAAATGAAAAGAAAACTAAATAGTCAAAGCTCACTCTGCCCAACATAATGTGTACCCACTGTCATGGCTTAAGTTGGTACCTTTTATGGAACATTTCTTTGACAAAAGATTCTCAGCTAGTAAAACCAATTGCTGACCTTAAAATTCACTTATTGGTTACCTGTTTTCCTTTCAGGGATTAAAAATTTCGAGTCAGGTAGAAAATACCACTTATCAGACCTCACCCTGTTAGAGAACAGTGGATTTGCGAAGAGATACAGATTCGGGATACTTTTACAAAGTGCTGGCTGTCACATACCCTCATCCATCTATAACAGAGCCTCTATTTAGAGATAAAAAGATTTGTCTTAACCACCTATTGTTGAGTGATCAGGTTATAAAGAAAAATATTTATTGTGTCTTTCACATTTAGAAGAGAAGCTAATGTTATATTTTAATAATAGTGGGAAATGCCTGGTGTTATTCCACATGGAAATAAATTTGTTTAAGAAGTATTTACCCACATGTTTTTTGTTGTGTCTAACCTAGCATGTTCTAGAGAATAAATATGTTTTGACAGAATCCTAAACTCTTTGCTTCAGGTGATTTTTACAGAGGAAACCACTTGGGGGCGCCAAAGGCGTTGCTAGCAATCTGCATCCGCTATGAGGAGGCTCTGCTTTCCAGGTCATTGTAAAAGTAGAGGAAGTGGGTGGGGGAGCCCAAGGTCTGGGAAAATGACCATAATAACAGTACCTTGTGTTTATATAGCACCTTTCTTCAATTAGCTCAGCATGTTTGGATATGATTATTCAGCTGGGAGCTTCTAGTTGTGGGAAATGAGGCGCAAGGCAAACACGTGTTCTCGGTGGGACAGAGGGTAACGCTGCTTCTTACTGGTTTCCAATGCTCATTCATTATTTTTACTCTGCAAAGCTGATGCGTGGCCTTTCCTGGCCATTTCCTTAAGAAACAATGAGCTGAGAAATCCGTCCCAAACTGAAATATAGTAAATGGAAAGAATCATGAATTCTGTGAGGAACATGAACCCCACTCTCAGAGCTAAGGGGGACCCTGAAAGAGAGTTTAAAAAAATAAATTACACAAGTCTAGTTATGTCGAATTGAATTTTCCAAAGCATGTGATGACAACAACTAGTTTAATCCTTGGTTACATTTCCTTTTTATTCCTTATGCAAATCTACTCAGTTCTGTAATGTAATTCATCTTTCATCCATAGCCTGACCCCCCAAAATGACAAAACTAGTAAAAAAAAAATTGAATTTACACTTTAAAAGTTAAACTCTAAACTCATGTAAGAAATACTATCTCAGAGTTTGTGTGTTAAGTAAGTGTGCCAACATGAATTAGCAGAGGAACATCAAGACAGGCCATTTGATTAATAGACAGATCTGTGGCTTCATCATCAGCTGAGAATAATTGCCCTCATGAATGTTTCCAATGAGAACATTTGCAGAGACTGAGTGTGACACATGATTAAGATGCCTTTTTTCACGCAAGTCATTTAGGGTCTCACCTGCTGAGTTTTTTTCTCAAAGTACTAAGCATGTGGCTTCTACTTTAGAACAGGGTATGGGCATTCACGCTTACATTATGATTGAGATTGACTGGGTCTTTACAGATTGAATCCCAACAGATTCATTCTCTAGTGTCTATTTATATCAATTACATATTTTTCTTTACATTTCAGAAGGTGCTTGAATCTGTCTTCCTCACTAGTTCAAATGATCTTATTGTAGATCCTCCCTATCAAGGCTTTGTCCAGAAGTCTTAGGGGATGTTTGTAATGAACTGATCTTCATTTTACAAACTTATACAATTCAGAGACTCCAGACATTCTCAAATACACAGCATATTTCTTTCTCTCTTACCTCTTTTTCTGTACCATATTATACTGAATTTGGGAAATGTCAGAGACTTTCTGAGTTTTAGGGGGCAAATATGTATTTTTCCCTTTTTTTTCAATACTTATTTTATCTGTTTTTCTTCGGATAATGAGGCTTGGCCCTTCTAAACTTACTGTAACAATTGTACATTCATTATCTATTTCCAAAATATTACACACATGCACACACACATAGAGTTTTAAGGATGTTAAACTCTGAACAATTTGAATACATAGAAATCTAAGAGTACAAAAAGGAAAATGCTACCCAATTCAGATTACCTTATTGCCATCTCATTATGATTTGAAATGACTGATTCCTCAAATTCTAATGCTGAGAAACCAAGCCACAGCAAGGCAAAGTAATGTGGTCAGAAACAGGTGATGTCATATTCAAATGTTTCTATTAATCTTACATATATTCCACATTGATGTTTCTTAATTTATTTAAAATGCTATTAAAAATAAATATCATACATATTAATGGGACTCTATGTGATGTTTTGACACCTATGTACCTTGTGTAATATTTCAGTTAGGTCAAACATGTCTGTCTCCCCAAAGGTCATGTCACTATGGTGAAAACAGCCAAACTCTCAAACACCCAGCACATTATTGACACCTGTAGTTTCTTTGCTGGGTACTAGCACACCAGAACTTTCTCCTGTCTCACTACAGTTTAGTATCCACTGATTACTCTCTCCCTATCCCTGTTCTCTGATCTCCCAGTCTTTTGCGAGGATGAGATACTTTTAGAGTTCCAAGTAATAACTAAAAAGCCAATCCTTCTAAGATGGCAGATTCATATTATTTCATAAATATTTTTGAGACACACTCTCCATAGTGTTCTACTAAATAGAGATGAATAGAAAGACTGTTGAACTATTTGTGGATATTTCCAAGAACTTGAGAAATTTTTTACATTTTCTAGTCAACTTAAAGAAAATACAGACAAAACTACACACTGGTATGAGCAGTTTCAAGTTTACTGTTGAGAAATGTTTCTGCATGAGGAAATGTCCACAAGCCATTTAAACAAGGAAGCACCTACCCCTGCTTAGGTACATGTGGTTTGCTTGTTTGTAACAAGAGTTGAACTCAGGACCTTGCACTTGCCCGGCTGGCACTGTGCCGCTGAGCTACAGCCCCGGCCCAAGCACATTCTCTTGGAGGTAGTTTTTCCTCCAGAACTTTTACAAATGAGCATTCATTCAGCAAAGTCTATCTGAAAGTTATTTAAAGATTTTACTCAAATTTTTGGAGGTACTGTTCTTACTTTTGACATTTTAAGTATAATTTTATAAGAGTAACTTTTAATATTGCCAGATTTCAAATTTCATAGTTATTGTGCTCACTGGGATCACAAACTTTATCACAAACACCACACACCTGTTAATTTCGTAGCTCCTTCTGGTGAAACTGCTTGGCCTTTGCCTTCCCAACTAGTTTAGGATTTCTCCAAAGGCAAAGACTTTATTTTATTCATTCTTTTGTTGCAAGTAAGGCTGAAAATGTATGGCAAAAAATAATGAAAAGTAGGTGAGCATAGGATTATTTGAAGATACCAGTGGGGTCACTCAAGGGCAGAGGATAATTAAAGTGGAAATGGACAGGGATGAAGTTTAAGGGTCAACCGCACTTAGGTCATTGCAAAAGTAAAGTTGGAGAAAAAATGATAAACAGTAAATGAACCAGAAAGATAGGCCATTGGTGTTTTGTGTCGTGGAAAACAAAGAGGACATTTTTAGAAGTTGGGCTGGCACTGATGCTAAAGGTTACAAAGGATAGGAAATGTGGTAGTCATTAAACTATTCATAAGTATCTCTGTTCTCTCCCTCCATACCTCCCTCCCTTTTTCCCTTGTGGTGCATTGAAGATTCTACTTCCCTGACTTGTACAGGTGAATGACACATGATTGGAAGTGATTTGTGCTGTTTCCCTTGAAAGCTTTGAGAGTCAGACAGAATGTCCCCTCATTCGTTTTAAACAGGCGGGGAAGAGGCCTGGGCTTACAGGATGAAACAGAGCCACTGGCAGCTGACCAGGTTCACACAGTGTGAATGAACTCTGTAGTCTTCTAAAACCACCAGTGGCGAGAATATTACTGCAGCATAAAGTAGCCTACTCTGACAGCAAAGTATGAAGTCATAACTTCACTATTAGATGGAAACTGTTTCAGATACCTGGAGGTTTTGACTTAAAAATTAAATAATGAGTTATTGATAAATTAGGAGAAAGTGTCAACTCTTCATTTAAAACACTCAATGTGAAAACAAGAAAACAATCTCCTAATTGTAACTATCAAAATTAATTTGGAAAAAATCACAAGGAATTAAAATAATGGGAAAATGAATGTATATTGATGAACAGGGAAATAATTCCATTAACAATGTAGTGAGGCATAACCCAAATAGTGAGAAGAATAATATAGGCTTGTAGTTGAGATGGAATTGACAGAATTACCAACTAATCTGCTATTCATCACATAGCAGGGAAGGAAATCTGTTGTTTGAAGCAAAAGGCACTTACTCCCTAGCAAGACAATGATAACATCTTTGAGTGTAGAAAGTGAAACACCTGAAGTGGAGAAGTCATTGAACACCATCGTGAAAGCCTGTTTTCTATGTCCCTGGTTTCTTAGGGGTAAGAGGGAATCTTCTGTTAAAGTTACTCCTTTCACTTGCTAAGTAAAAAATAAGCAAGGTAAAATATAGGCACTATACAAATGGGCAGGAGGAAGATCAGGTAGAGTTGAGGTCACTGGTTAAGGCATAGTCAGGTTGCCAAATGGCTATCTGAGAGAATCTTTTAGCATTGAAGAAAACTTGTCTACCTGGAATACAGCCTTCTCTTTCCAACCACCAGTCCTGGATAGAGAATCTGGCAACATTAAGGTCTAAGAAATCTACTTTTCCACCCCCTGTAGAGTTTAAATAATTTAAATAAAGACCTGAAAAAAATCTGAAAGAATCAAATCTTTAAAATAGAAGAATACAATCTCTAAGAACAGAGGATTAGTAAATGAAAGCATTCAGCAGATAATCATATCGTATAGAACACAACTCCTGAAAGAGTCAGAAGGAAACTTTACAAAATCTCCTGTTATGGATTATAACTAGATGTCCCCCTAAAGCCTCATGTCACTCAGAGATGGGGCTTTGGGAAAGTGACTGGATCATGGGTGTGTGGTACTAGATTAATCCTCTGATGGGTTTCTAGTTGGGTGTAACGCTGGGAGGTGAAGCCTGGTGGAAACAGTTGGCTCACTGAGGCATAAGGATATATAACTCTCTCCTCCCTCGATGGCTGCTGCTTCCTGCCGGCCATGCTACTTCGGCTTGAAGGCAGCCAACAATGGACTGAAACCTCTATAATGGGAGTCAAAACAAACCTTTCCTCTCTTAAGTTATCTCAGTGATGAGAAGCTATGACATCTGTAACTAAGCTTTAAAAAGAAACCTCAGAGCATGATGCATCCATTAAATTAGGAAAACTTACAATAGGAAATAAGATAATGATGTTATTCTTAAAAGAGAAAATCTGTCATCTCATAGTGAGCAGCGAGCAAAGTGGGAAGGAACTGGAGGAGGGCCAGGATCCCGGTATCACCTTCAATACACGCCATGATCTAATTTCCTTTTTTTAGGACCTACACCCTAAAAATTTTACCACCTCCAATAATGTCATGGCCTGTAGACAAAGCCTTAAAAGCATGGACTTTTGGGGCACATTAAAGATTCAACTATTCTCTTTATCCTGGGGACCAGGCATAGGTCAAGTTTGTGCTTAAATTTAAGCAGCAGAGTTCAGTTTCTTGGTCCTCCACAAAATTATCTAAACAACCTTTCATCATGTTACTCCTACAGAAATCAGGGATTGTTTATCCTTTTGCTACTAAAAAGCCTGCCATTCACAGTCCTTAGTATTTCATTACGGAATGTACAGCATGGGTGGGTGACATGAGATTATGAGTGGGCTTGAGTAATAAATAAATAGTCATTGACCTTTACACACGATGTTTGGTGTACACAGACTAGGTTTGATGTCCTATATTTGGCTGTCTGTATAATTCAATGGAAATCCTTACTAGGAAAAAAAATGACTAAAAGTTCAGGTGAAATAAAGGATTGATGGAACAATGCCCTAGACTGGGGACAAGATGACGAACTCTCCCGGATAAATACATTATTTTTACTAAGAGTGCTTCTTTTCATTAAACAGGAAGGAGGAAGGGTAGAATGAACAATGATTCAAAGAAGCCCTCATGGAAGATTTTGGTCTTGTTAGTAAAGTAGAAGGTGATGTCATCTGCTGAGATCCAGAAGCACCAACAAGATTAGGACATAAGAATTGGATCCGTTAGGATATCATCATGTATAAATTGCATAACTCCCAACTCCTAAAAATTTCAAGGCAATTTGTTTTGATATGGGGATCAAACTCCTGACCTTGCACTTGCTAGGCAGGTGCTTATGCCACTGAGCTAAACCCCTAGCCCTCAGGCAACTGTTCTATAGTTTGGGTTGAAGAGCTTTACAAATATCAAAGTAGAGATCTGTCATCTTTAGAAGTCTCTATTCAACTCCCTAAAAGGAGGAGAATGGCTATTTGCAAATTCAGGCATCACAATTTTATATGAGCATTTCAAACAGAGAAGAACAGAGGTGGAAAAGAAATGCTTTTCTAAAAAGCTTTGTGAATACATGTAACCCTTGCAATTCTCTTTCCAAATGAAGAACACTCTGGGTATCATAAATTAATATATTCAATATCAAAGAAAACAAGAATGCTAAGATGTTCATGGAATGGCTGATTTAGGATCTAGGATTGGAAATTTAAAGGGTAGCTGAGCTAGTCTTAGCCTAGACTGCCCTGATTTGTCTCTTCTCAAAAGCCAAGTAGGATTAGTGCTTGGATGGGAGGAAGTAATGGAGCCTTCCCTGAGTTGCATGAATTGAGAAAATAAACTGTATGGATTTGGGAACTGGAGATCAGTATCAAAAAAAAAAAACCTGAAATGAACAGGTGAGAGAAAGAAAGTGAAGAAATTTTTGCAAGTAAAGTAGAATCCATGTTCACCAACATATGGAACCATTTTACCACAAAGTGTGGGTGGATATGTCTGGGGAGTTCTAAAAGTGGGATATAAAGATAGTGGTTGAAAAGAGATTAAGGACATCAAGACATTAAGAATGTCTTCTGGTATAGAGGAGGTTTTAATTTTGAAATTTTTTTCCTATCTTGTTGGTATTCTCAGTTAGATTGCATCTTCTATCAAGGAGCATACTTTGAATTTTTTCTCTGTCCAAATTCAATAATGGGTTAAGGAAGCTGTAAGCTTTGGTGGCCATGGAAATAGCCCACTAGAGTTCTAAGATTTTTCCAGAAACTTCAAACAGTGATAATCAGCCATGTGCAGTGGCTGAGGCAGGAAAATCACAAATTCAATCCCAGGCAGAACAACTAAGTAACCTAGTGAGATTTTGACTCAAAATAAAAAATAAATAAAATAAAAAGGACTACAGATGCTACTCAGTGTGAAGGTACTATACTCAATCCCCAGTCCTTGGTGGTGGTGGGCCAGTGATCATATTGGGACAGCATGCTAGCATTTCAATATTTTTATAAAATCAGCGAATAATTTCTTATTATTACTTTGACTTGATGTGTTATATCTGGATGCATTTCTTTCTCTGGAAGCTTCCAGTTACCTTCATCATTTCAGTTCTAAAAAATGTGGTACTTGTACAAAGCAATACTATATAGCCATAAAGTTACAAAGCAGAGTGTAATTTTAAATCAGTACATTTGCACATGGATATATCTAAATATTTACTTATGAGAATATGTTTTGCAATGAATTTCAAGGTTTCACATCTTTCAAAATAAACATATATTATCTAAGTAATATTTAATTGTATAATAAATAACCATAGCAATTAACCTGGCAAATTTTGTCCTCTAAAGAAAAAGGGTGGTGGGTTTGAAGGGAATAAGAGAATGCAGACTGTGAAGTGTCACATCTCCCAGCACCAGAGTGCTTATTTCTGGACAGAGAGAAGGATCCTCCTGCATTTTTTCTGCTAGTCCGGTTTTCCATTTTTTCTCTGTCTCTCTGTGTCTCTATCACGTTTTTCTGTCTCTCTGCTCTCTGTTATCTCTCTCTGTCTCTGTCTGTCTCTGTGTCAGTCTGTCTGTGTCTCTGTCTCTGTCTCTGTCTCTGTCTCTGTCTCTGTGTCTCTCTCTCTCTCTGTTCCTAACCCGTATCTGGTCTTTTTCTCTCTTCCTGCCAGGTATGTAGGTGGTGGATTAGCTCCTGACTCACCCTCATTTCTATAGCTTCATTTCCTGTTTGAGATTGAGACCACAGTCTGATTCACCCTGGTTTTTTTATGTAAATATCACCAAGGCTCTTGCCAGCCCCCAAGGCAACTTTCCTTTGACCCTTCAGAAAGTTTGTACTTTATCATCCATTGATGTCTTCTAGGCTGCCTAATTAAAAACACTCTGCTCTTGGTCAGGAAGACTGAACTCTCTGAAGGCTGCTTGTTGAAAAAGGCCTAGCCGATCCCCCTGCTATGGGTGTCTGCTGGGGTTTTCTTGAGGAGGTCTCGGTGACAAGTGAGCCAGCAGAGATGGCTCCCTCCAAAGGGCAACTGTACCTCCTTGGCCATACTGCCCACTGTAACCTAGCCAGCAGCTGCTTTAGAATACAGTGTGAATGTGTGAAGGATCATAAAATGAACAAGCAGTGGCCCCTGAGGGTTTCACCCTGAGCTTCCCTGAGACTGCTGCTCTTATGGTTTTCCTGGACACTTTATATCCATTCTCAGGCTTCTTCTAAAGCCTTTCTTCCTTCACCTGTCAAAGATTCTCAAGCACTTTCTCCATTCTTTACTTTTCCACCTCAGGACCTCCTTTGCTTTGCTCTTGTTTGTACCACCAGTTGGGTGAATCGGAAACCAGGCTGTCTCTGGATCACTCTTCCAGGGTGCTCTCACCTGGTTCTGCAGCTCAGCTACTTGCTTTTGTCAGCTTTGTTCCTGTAGCCGTCTTTACAAGCAAGTGGTTGGGCCACTCGGGCCACTCTGTCTGGAGAAGACACCAGCCTTGAGTGCCTGGAAAGGAAGACGTTAGGCAGAACGTTGATAATGACTGACGCAGTGATGGAAAAGCTCAGCTGATTCCCTTTGAGCAGGACCAGGTTTGTAGAATCATTTATTCTCCAAATTCCCTTAGCGATGCAAGAGGCTGAGATTTATCCTTGCTTGACTTTTCTTTCCCTATTGAGCTTCTGATACAGTTAGAGGAAGAATTTTGAAAAAATTCCTTTATACATAAGTGTTCACCTTAGGTTGGAGGACCTGAACTAAGACATAGTTGGAGCTATGTGGTAACCTTCTCCTATCCACAGGGGATACCTTCGAAGACCCTCAATGAAGGCCTGAAGAAACAGAATAGCACTGAGCCCTGTATAAGCTATGCTTCTTCCTGTATGTACACACCCATGATAAAGTTTAATTTATGAATTAGACACAGTAGGAGATTAACCATAACTAATAATACAATGTAACAATTAGAGTAAGTGTGTTATAATAAGTTAAGCAAGCCTTAGGAATTGTTTGTACGACCAGGTGGGTGAATCAGAAGCCAGGGTGTCTCTCTGAATGACTCACATTCCAATCAGCTCCTCCAGGGTGCTCTCGCCTGGGTCTGGGGCTCAGCTACTTGGTTTTGTCAGCCTTGTTCCTGTAGCCATCTTTACAAGCAAGAGATATTTTCAACCACAGTTGACTGTAGGTAGCTGAAAACACAGGAGAGCAAAACCAAGGGTAAAGTAGATATCATAACTCACACATATGACTGCCTATTAAATACGGTCAGCCAGATGACCAAGAGAACCTTAACTCAGTTTGTCTACAACTGAACTGATCAGTTTGTTTACAGTCAAACTTATTCTTTTTCCTTTGCCCCTTCCAAATCCCCTGACTTACAAATTTACCTGGTTTTGCAGCAAAACCACATAGAAGTCATGCCAGATGCTTTTCTCCTCTTCAACCCACATTCACTGAATCCCAATTTCCACCCATTTCTTCTCCTCAGAATTTCTTGACTCTCTATTCTAATTTTCATCATCCCTGCCATTACATTATTCAGCCTCCTTTTTTCCCCTCATATCTCTCAGCCTTCACTGCACCCTTCATTCTACCACGGTCAGGTCCCTCGGTGCCCTTGAGGAAAGAACCCCAGAACCCCAGTTTCTTTTTCCTTCCTTCCTTCTGCCACACCTACACATCACTGTCACTCCTGCATGGTTCTCTCCTCTCTCAAACAGCTAAACGCTGCTAAAAAGAAAAAAAAAAGTCACCAAACATTTTACATCATCACGCAAGTATAATCTCCAAGCTCAACTTTAATTGCAGAATCTGATATATCTGGGTTTTAGTCCATGACCAAATCTAATCCCAGCCTAACTCTATTCATATACATAAGCAAATACCATGGACGCTACACTACACAAAACCTGCAAAGCTGAAGTGTTTTTCCTGGACTCTACATCATACTTTAGCTACCACCCAATATTACTCACTATGAATCATCTAATAATTTTATAAAGCAACAGGCGTTGGCTTCATTAGAAAGTCACTGTCACCCTGTGACACTTTCAAAGTTGTAGCATGGTTTCTTTTTTGCATTTACACATTTGATGCAGGAGAATTTATTTTAGTATAAAGCTATACTAGCTGAATCAGTTATGCAGTCAATCCAATTTTTCTTCATTCAAAATTCTGCCTCCATTTTTCTCCATAAAATGAGGGTAGTAATAAGCATCTGCCATGTAGTTGATTGAAAGAGTAAATGAGAGTACCTATAGAAAACCTAGATGCCTCTCTAACACATAGTTGGTACACAATATATTTAGCAATGATTACATACAACATGATTTGTAGTTTGTTCCTGAACTCCTGTGAGAAGTTACTATGTTGATTTGAGAATTATACCTTGTTAGTAATGCTCTTTTTTCAGAGAGTTCTTGGCTATTCCTGAAAGCTTATGTTCCTGTGAAAAGCATCTTTAATTAACAAAAGCCAAATCAAACAAAATGGGGGGTTATTTCTGACCTATGGATACCTTACAAAGATCTGAATTTTTATAGTTTTGAGTTTTCTGTCAAAAGAAATTTAAAATAATTAGGTAATTATCTTAGAATCACATCATTTATGAACATCTTTTTAAATGTTGCTGGTTTGGGGTGCATTTTTTCCCCACTGACCTGTCTATGCCTTGCCAAAATCCTGTCATTTATTGTATTTCCTTGCCTCATTTTATGATATCTCATAAGGAAATGTCCCTTACATACCTTTTCCAAAGAAATAACCCAGACATTTTTAAGCATTTTCTCTTCTAAATAATAAGTACCCTCAATTTATCAAGATGCATTTAAAAATCCCTTTTAAATTATGTTAGCAATTTATTGTATGTATAAACCTGGCATCCTTATAACTTTCAATGTTCTTACCATTAAAATATCTTCACATTAATTCTATTTACTTATTAATGTATTATTCTATTGTTCAATTAAGTATGCTGACAGCAGTAGTTTTATATATGTCCTGTTAGGACATACAGATATTTATTTATTGGTTACCATTGAAAATTGGATGTTTCTTTTGTTATATTTTTTGGATTTTTGCCTTTATATTAAATAAGGTATAAATTAGCAGTTAATCTTATGTTTCTTTATAGCCAGTTAAAGTCTTACTAACCACTTTTATCAGTTGATTATAAGTGCTTGAAAAGAATGCTTACTCTTGAAATGATAGATTTCTTTTTCTAGCTATTAGACTGAGCCTTACAAAATTAATTGCCCATTTTAATTTTGTCAAGAATATTTACATAGTGGTGATTTAATTTGCATAGATATACACAAGTAAATATTTTCCTTTTCTTGATCAATTACTTAGTGACAGTTTAATTCTGGCATGGCATTAATGTATTTTCTTATTATTTCTGTATAATATTTTGTCTTATCAATTTGAATATTTATTATTAGTTGCAAACCAATTTCTATATTTTTAGTAAGTTATTCTTTCTGTGATCATGTTATGATTTTTTCGGTTGTGATTTTACATGTATGTTTCTATCTTAAAAATATTTTTCCTAATGGTTCTGTAATTTCACTAGTTTTCCTTTGGTAACTTGCCTAGTGTAACTCTTTTATATTTATCCTTTTACTTTCTCAGCTTCTGTTTAGTTGTGCTTTTGCACTTTCTTTTCTTTTTATTAAATTTGAAAATATTTTAACTGATAAACTCAGTTTTTATATTGACATGTTTAACTGTGAACTTATCACAGTTTGCTGCTTCTATTTATCATCACCTCTTAAGGCAGAGTGAGCTGCCCTTCCTCTGTACGTGCAATCCATCTAGTCTAACTACTGACACTCCCTGTGTCTGAGAACTTACTGCCTGGAACTAAACTTTATTAATTCTTGAGTGTAACAGAGAGTCTAATATATAACACAGACTTAGTAGTATTTATGAAATAAATGAATATACCTAACAAGAATATACCTAACAAGAAACTAAATAAACTATACCTCCGATGGAGAATTAGAAAAAGCGTAGGAGGAACAATTGGATAAAAAGGCATACTGTTCTCTTAAGTTCCCCTTATTTCTCACCAAATATGCACAAGTGTATGTCTTTAAATGTGGTTATAATAAAAAACATGGAGACTATGGCTGTCAAGAGGAGTGGAGGCAAGCACGTGTGCGTGCGTGCGTGAGTGTTTCTCGGAGGACTCAAATGACAGATCACAAACATAAACATTTGTAATTTGAAAATAACGTATCTGTTGTAGAGTGTGATAAAAATTATCCTAGAAAGATGAATAATTTTCAAGAAATAAGGAATGCTCTCATCCAACATGAACTAACCTAAGAAGTATGGATTAGATATCACTAATTTTAGCACAATGTAATTGCTATCTTGAGCAATATTCTTAAAATTTTGCAATATTGCAATGACTCAGCTGTTAAGAAACGAAAAAGGCCAAATGAGTACACGAGCGTACTCTTCCTTACTCAGAACATCCTCACTCAGTCCGCAGGGGAGGCTGCCCTTCCTCGGATGATTAAGGTCGTGGCCATCTTAGGTATTTGCAGTGTCATACATGGCCCTTCATACACGCTGTGATTATGTATAGACAGCCAGCAGTTTATTGGAAGTCTTTCTGCACCATTTACCAGGATTGAAGGCCCAGATAATGGGGAGAATTCTGAAACTCTGTTTCCCTCTTAGAAAACAGACCTTCAAGATACAGCAAGAGAAAGGGCAATACTTAATGCACAATCCCGGGCCTGAACTTTTTCTCTTTAGGCCATCAGGTCTTGCTGCATCTTTGCTGATAGCAAATACAAGAAACAGGGAAGAAGAGGGTCCTCCACATCATGCCAGTGGTTGGCTTTCTTACACTGTGGACAAAATGAACTTCTCAGTTTTAGCTTGAGAAACTCTTCAAAATTAAGACACCATTTTAAATAGGATCCTTATCATAAGAGGCAGAAATACAATTAAAACAGACATAAAGGACAAAATAATGGAGAAGATAGAGATTTTATTTGGTTTTATTTTAAGATTACTGGGGCCATCTACACTCAAACAGAGAAAATATAGTTAAACTTGGGAAACAGAATTCCAACCCACTGTAGTCCCCAGGTAATGTAAAGCCTAGACCACACATTGTCAACATCTCCTTCTCTCTTTTCCCACATCTCTGCTTCTGTTGGCCTATTAGTTTCATTCTTCCTATGATAATCTAGTATATCTACACAGTGACAATAATGGATTCACAGCCTCATAGTTTCAGACGAGGGAAAATGGGGATTTTTCCCATAGTTCTAACTCCCTGCAGCCTAAGTCACCTGCCAACCATTTGGCTAAATCATTATGAGCAGCAGAAACTACTGTAGCTGCCCCAACCAGAACAACATTACTCCTGTAAGTAGTCACTGAACCTGGACTGAGCAGTTGAGCCTAGGGGCTTGGTGACAGTCTATGGGAGCCATAGGGTGGAAGGCAGACGGGCCTCTCTCTGTAACAGAAAAGGGAGGGGTTCAGACAGCAGAAAAAGTCATCAACCTTAGTAACCATGAGCACCACACTGATCTTACAGGATATTATGTTCTGAGTTCCAACTGTTCTCTTGGTAAATGAACTCTGTGAACTTACAAATTGGGGACCTCCTATATCTGAATAGTTACGCAAGGGGAAAAAAAGACAATGGTTATGGTAAAAAAAAAATCCATCATGTCATTCATCATCTGTTTTTCCCTTGAAGAACAGGCGTGGCCTTCCTTTGGGTTTCTGATTGTCCGTACTGAAGCTGCTTCCTTAGTTGATAGGTCAGAGCCACTGCCCTTGAGGTTAAAGCCCAAAATCAGCATATTTGTCAGCAGTAACATGGGTATTGGTAGCACAACCTCTTTTTTCCTCTGAGGTCTGAGTGCAGATAATCTTTAGTTTAATAGAGTGTAAAACACAGGATAGTATTCTGATCACAGCTCAGAGTTTACTGCACATTTTATCAAAGTTTAAATTAACACTACATATATATATATATATATATATATATATATATATATATGTTATATACTTTTCTATTGTATTCTAAAATACTTACTCTTAGATTCACATTAAAATACTCTCCATGACGAGATTTTTGGATAATTATGCTTAAACTCTTCCAGACATAGTTCTGTTAGATGATTACTCTATAGAAACAAGGTAGCGTATGTTTATT